AATGATTATATTTTTATTTTTTGGAATAGACCTTCCCACGTAACGGGTTCACAACTAACCTCGTTCAAGAACAAGACATAATCATTAAAATGCCATGGTCCAACAGCTAGCTAAGACTCTATGCATGTCCACCGGATGAAAAAAGTAGAACAAAAACACATTGTTGCCTAACACCCGCATGTACATGCCATTGACAGTCCTCCAAGCAACCGCCAATGTTGATTCCATAGCCTCTACATTGAAGCGACGCCTAGTAAGCACCATCCTAGCCACATACCACTATCATTCTTGCTCCTCACCTTCCTTGAAAATCAATGCTTCCTTCTCTTCCTCTGTAAGTGCAAGGCGACATGCCAGGGCAATAGCCAAAGCCCCCACTCTAGAGTCATCCATCAAAACCCATAACGCCAAAAGTAAAGCCCATTTAATAAGCAAAACTAAAACAACACTCCCACAATATTGAGGAGAAAGACACTCCTAGGTTTCAAAAGAAAAAGACATCACACAATGATAACGGTGATGATACAAAGATAATTTTTTTATATAATCTTTTTGTATTATCTTTTTATACAACTTTCACATGTTATCAAATGAGTAGATACATATAATATCATTGGTTCTAAATGAATAAAAAGAGTTAATAGTTTAAATGACACGTAAAGTTATATAAAAAGATAGTATAGAAAAGTTATCTCTAAATTATTTTCCTTTCTTAGTATTAATCAACTACTTATTATGACTTTTATTGAGCTAAAAAATAACATGATACAAATACCTAATAAGAAACTGTTTTCCATGTATTAAACCTTTCCACAATAATTGACCATAGTTCTTTATAAATGGACTATCCCCATCTAAATATATATCTGTATTACAATTAATCCACTATAATTCTTTGTAATAAATTACTGTAGACCTTTTTTTTTTTTAAGCAAACAAAACCTCTATTATAAATATAAGTAGTATAAGGGGTACTCGCCCCAATACTGAAACACTAGAGCTGTTCACCAATAATTACTTCTATAAAAGTTGCATAAACCATTTCTCAGATAATCTCAAAATCAAATAGATCAAGACACACCATATGATTTCAACATCATACTACATGCTTCCATATATAGGAGAAATAACCCAATATTTTTTTGACAAATCTGGCCAAAGGTTGCTTGTAACCCATTGAAAGGATGCCAGTTTAACTAAATCAAATACCTTATTTGGGCCACGCATCCGACTTCTTCCTTGAAAATCAGTTGATTACTTCATAGTCACAAGGACTAAACTGCTGCAAACCAAGCAATTGCCCACAGGGACGGACCCAAGGAAGGACAAGGGGGGCAGCTGCCCCCCTAAACTTTTGAAAAATATTTAATATGGTACTCTAACTTTTATTTGTTAAAAATTTTGTTTTTATAGTATGAAATTCAATAACCATTTCAAACGTAGAGAAAATATTTAGAATTTAAATAAAGAGTTTTCAAAAAGCAAGCATATGATTCAAAATGAAATGAACTTTTTATTAATATAATTAATTTAGAATTGGGGTTCTTAAACACTTCCTTATTTATTAAGCCAAAATAATAATAATAAAAACTTTAATTCTCTATTTAAATAACTTTAAAATTATAGTTTTCTTTAGTATTTTTTTTTTATCTTTCTTAATATTCTATATAATAATTTAAAGTTTTTGTTTATTTGGTATCATCGTAGGTTTTTACCTTTCGTGATTGAATTTATAATTATATATTTTTTTGTATTAAATCAATTTAAGTTAAATTTCACTTT